CAGCCTTTACCTGACCCAACTAGGAAAAAGTTGCTGTAGCAATACGAGTCACTGTGAGCAGATATCTCACCAGCTGTTATCCTTGATGAGACATCACCCATGTATGGCCACCTTTAAGGGGAAGCCTAGACACAGAGGAGCTATAGAAGGGAGCAGATTCCAAGATTTTATCCATAAACCACCACCACAATCATGTTCAATGTCATTTGATACCAAACATAATAAACAAGCAATTTCCTTTGATTAATATCACGTTATAAGCAGTGTAGTTCTTTAACTCCTTATTCATACATACCGTGTTCTTTTCTCTTACATACAAAAGCCTTGTAGCAACTGTCACATGTAATTAATTACCGCCGCTCTTCAGAGGCATTGTCTGCAGGCTCTAGGACCTTGGCTGCTTGAGCAGTCATGGTTTAGGATTTTGATTATCTATAAAATGGCCTCTAACAGTTCTCCAAGGAATCTAGCTACATTTTCTGTTTTAGAATGCAAATGTGTTTTTGTCACTGTGTCATTTAACCACTTCATAGCCCAGTTTAAGTATCTTGTTATTATAACTACCATTGTACACTCAAATTAAGGGCTATGTTGACCATGAGGCAAGGTGAAAATCTTGTTTTAGGCAGCACCTCTTTGAGCTCTGCAGTGACAGGAAAATAGCCCAGTAACACTGCCAGGGTTAAATTACTGTGTGCTTTGGCTTAGCCCAAACAGGACTACGTATAAAAGGAGATTGGAAAACATCCCACCATGTCCCAGCTCATGCCACCCTACATGTTATGATACAGCATGTCTAGAAGATAGCAAAGGCTACTGCATAATATAAAAATAAACAGCACTCTGACGCTTAACGTAAGCCATTTTTCTGGTAATATTCTATACACAATAAATAATTATAGTACAGAAAGGGTAGCTGCAGGCAGGAATTGCAGTACTGGTGTATCTTACACTAATGAAATATTGTAGCATGTTTTAAAGAGAAGTAAAACCAAACTGTTTTGGGGGTTTTGGGTCACAGGACTACATTTGCTAATATTGCACTCCAAATGCCTAATCAACAGCTGGCTCTGCCTCTCTAGAGCCACAGCTAGAACCAGCCATGCACGCCCACTTCTCTATCTGTCCCTCCACTGGAGGAAAAGAGAGAGGAAGGGGGAAACCCTATGGGGGCAGTGACTGAGCTGAGTGATTAGTGGGTACATGATCCTGGTATAGAGCCAGAGTATGACAGCTGCAGCATCCCATCCTGGCACTAAGCAGCTGGGGGAGTATGTTTACGCACTTCTCCTTTATTATTATTATACAGGATTTATAGAGCACCAATAGTTTGTGCATCGCTTGACAATATAAGAAGACATTACAGTTACAATACAAGTCAAGACAAGATGGTGAGGAGGGCCCTGCCCGTGAGGGCTTACAATCAAAAAGGGCGGGGTAAGTGATACATGAGGAGGTAGATGTGTGGGGGTGAATTGTTTGAGAAAGTCATAGCTCAGTGGTTATGCTGAGACAAAATAGGCTTCCCTGAAAAGATGAGTCTTTAGGGATCGCAGAATCTACAGGGATATGGGAAGTGTTAGAGCAAGATAAATACACACACTCACAAACATAGGTTGATCTGGATGGACCTTGGTCTTTATTCAACCTTACATACTATGTTACTATGTAAAGGCAGTCAGAGTAGGAGATAGATGGACAGGTTGGGGTACGGAGTTCCAAATCCAAAGGATAGGAGAGATTCTAGAGAAGTCCTGGAGGTGAGCATGGGAGGTGCTGAAGCGGGAGATAGAGAGCATGAGGTCTTGTGTAGAACAGAGTGGAGATATAGCGCGGTGTAGAGTTGTGGATGGCTTTGTAAGCGGTTGTTTATATTTTGAATTTTATCCTTTGGGAGCTTGGAAGCCAGTGGAGGGATTGGCACACGGGGGTTGCAGACAGACTGAGCAGTTGATTAGGTGGATGAGTCTAGCAGCAGCATTTATGATAGACTGAAGAGGGATAGCCTGTGTAGTGGTAAGCCAATGAGGAGGGATTTGCAATAGTCAAGACAAGAGAACAAGTGTGTGGATGAGTAGCTTTGTGGCGTCATTGGTTAGGAAGGGACATATTTTAGAAATGTTACATCTCCAAAATTTTATATATTTTATAATTTTTGTATATAATTTTTTATAATAATTATAGTATAAAAAATATATTTATATACATTTTTTTTTCCTAATTTTTTTTTTTTGGCAGTTTATATCAAGCACTCATAGTGACTATTAACTTTTTTAATGTTTGGCTATTATTAGGCTGCTCCAAACTTAGGAACAGCTAATAATAACCTTAGAGACTGATCCTGACGGCATGTCAGATTCAGATCTCACTAAAGGTGTTTGACCGTGCCTAGACGATCAGAAGTGATACATTTCAGGCACAGAGATACATTGTATCTCTGTGCCTGAAATGTATCAAACATTGGGCTATCGAGCTGTCAAAACGAATAGCAGAGAGGTGAGTCATCTGCTACCTCTCTGCTATTTTCAGCTGTCAAATACCGGATTGCAATTTAGCGCTCCCATATAAATTACCTTAATATTAATTTTTTTCCCCAGTTTGAATGTAGTGTGTTGTAATCAACATTATGGCC